TCTTGCCTCAGGTATTTATACATATTGATCAGATCTCCTCTCAATTTTCTCTTCTCCAGGCTAAACAGGCCCAGCTTGCTTAGTCTTTCCTCATAAGATAGATACTGCAGTCTCTTAATCATCTTTGTTACCCTACGAAGCTCACAGAATCACAGAATGGTTGAGGTTGGAAGGGACCTCTAGAGATCATCTAGTCCAACCCTCCTGCTCCAACAGGGACACCCAGAGCACGTGGCACAGGGTGGCATTGGGGCGAGTTTGAAGATCTCCAGTGAAAGAGACTCCACAACCTCTCTAGACAGCCTGTTCCAGGGCTCTTGTCACCCTCACAGGAAAAAAGTTCTTCCTCATATGGAGGTGGAACTTCCTGTGTTTCAGCTTGTACCCATTACCCCTTGTCCTGTCACCAGCCACCACAGAGAAGAGCCTGGCCCCATCCTCCCTACAATGACCCATTGGGTACTTGAATATATTGAGCAAATCTCAGCCTTCTCTTCTCCACACTAAACAGGCCCAGTTTGCTTAGTCTTTCCTCATAAGATAGATGCTCCAGTCCCTTAATCATCTTCATGGCTCTACACTGGACCCTCTGTAGAAGCTCCACATCCCTCTTGTACTGGGGAGGCCAGAACTGCACCCAATACTCCAGGTGTGGCTTCACCAGAGCTGAGTAGAGGGATGGGATCACCTCCCTCGATCTGCTGGCAACACTCCTCCTGATGCAGGCCAGGACCCCATTGGCCTTCTTGGCCATGAGGGCACATTGCTGACTCATGGTTACTTTGTTGTCAACCAGGACTCCCAAATCCCTATCTGCAGAGCTGCTTTCCAGCAGGGCAACCCCTAATCTGTACTGGTTCCTGGGGTTATTCCTCCCCAGGTGCAGGGCCCTGCACTTGTCCTTGTTGAACCTCATGAGGTTCCTCTCTGCCCAACTCTCCGCTCAACTCTCCATCCTGTCTTTGCCTCTCTGAACAGCCCTCTGGAGTGTCAGCCACTCCACTCAAGTTTTGTATCATCTTGTTGACAACTGTCTTGTTGACAGACTTCATTTTGTCAAGAACTCAGTTTCTTGCCCCATAAATCCCTCAGTGTCCAAGCTGTTACTCTGCTGAACAATGTGCTCTCTCTGCCTCTCCAGGACATGGCAGAAAAGGAGTTAAACCAACCTGCTTCTGTTCTGCCTGCGACTGCTGTGAGAATGAATAGTCACCATCAGGGATGCTTTTGACTTTATAAACAATGAGTATAAAGCAAGCAGCATTTAAATTGGTCTTTTGAAGGTACATCCTATAACAGGCTCTTAAAATCCTCAAAGCAGCTGGAAGCCCTCCAGAGTACTTTTCTGTGGAGATTTTAAGGTTTTGTTTTCTATGCATGTGAAAGCATTTGCCTACATACAAATACACAATTTAACATAATTTACTGGAGAGCAAAATTCTCCTTTGCAGGGCTTCTGAGACACGAATATTGGAACAATTAATGCTGCAGGACTGTGCAGCATTACCCTGACGAGAGCAGCTATCCTAGCAAATGATTCAATTTGAAGAAAGCTCCTGAGTCCAGACAAAGTGACCGTGCTCCACTGCAATTCCATTGAGTTTAGTTGGTGCTGGTCAAGAGAATGGTTTGGCATTATGCAGTTCCCACAGTAACTCTTTCCTACAGTTAAGCCCAGCTCTTGTGGTGCTGCATTGCAGAAAACTGGGTCCCACATTCCAAGTCTGAGTCTCTGGAGTTCAACAATTGCGTCCAAACTGACTCTTGGTAACAACCCCTGGCCCATGCTACCTCTGAAAGACACCTGAGCAGTAAAGCGTGAGATACCACAGGCTAAAATCCTGCCAAGGAGAATGCAACAGTCTGGATGCTCATCCAGAACTTGGCCCTATTCTACTTCATAGAATAGATGGCAACCAAAGGCCTCGCTGATCTTTACAATGCCACCAGTGAATGTCCTAAAGGTTGCAATCCCATCCACCGGGAAGGGTAGCAATGCATGCACCAATGCATGCACATGCATCTGCTCTCTG